TTACCCAATCATGAAGAAGGCGTATCACTCAAAAATCATGTGACTGCCCTTTTTTTTCGCCATCACTGACTCTTTAGAATAGAGACATTTATAGATAAAGAGTGGAAAAATATCCCGGATAGTGTTCTGATTCATCGTGTAGAACCAATGCCTCCGTTGCAAGCTTGTTATTGAAAGCAATGGCGAGCGAATTAATTATAATAAGATCTACGAATTGTCAGCTTTCAGATGAATTTTTTTGAGAAACAACTGAATTTTATTTCATCACTGCATACAGAAAAAGTCCCCCTTCCTTTCTTTCCTTACTGATCAGAATAGAAACCGTGTCCATAATTACTTTGATAACCAATATAGCTGTAGCGCTGGGGATAATAGCCACAGCCATCGTAGTGATCGTGACTAGCATAACCATTATAATAAGAATGATTTCCATTATATCCTAATGACCGATCATAACATTCTTCCCATTCACGTTGTCGTTGCAGATATTCGCCATCAGACTCACAATGACTGGATACATGACCATCGTAACCCCACCACCGTCCGTTTATGGTCGCTCTATTGTTTTCAGAATAATGGTAATTATCATAATCAGCCTCATATTCTTCATCTTCATCAACTTCTTCACATTCGTCTTCATCATCGGCTTCATCGTCTGCTTCATCTTCTTCTTCTACGCCATCATCTTCATCTTCCCCATCATCTTCATCATCTGCATCGTCACCTTCTTCACCTTGTTCATGCCCTTGCACATCATTTTTGACAGTTCCACTACTTACGGAACTCTCATCAGTTTGTCGTCTGGCAAACTCTACTCCACGCCACCTGCTAAATCTCGATGACGGGTAGGAAAGATCTTGGACTTGTTCAGTTAAAAGAGATGGGCGAAAGTTTACATCTCCCCCGCATACATCGTTTTCTGCTTCCCACCCGTCGCTATCCCACAACTTCCTAACGCTTATTCTAATCTGCTTTTTTTCCTCTTCGCCTATCCGTCCCAAATTGACAAACACTTCTACTGTATCAATGACACAAAGTACGTCTCCTTCGTAAAGGTCTTCGGTATCAATATGACTCAGATCCACTCCAACAATATCTTCAATTGTCTTAAAAACCATCTCAATGTTCTCGATTTTCTCCGTTTTCGTGACGGGTCTACGATGAAGAAGTGGAAGTCGGCCAAAGAGCAACTCGAAAAGGATAGGATAAAGCGAAGGCGTGCAATCAAGGAGAGATGAGAGCGAAAGAGAAATGCGCAGGACAGAGAGGAGGTGGATTAACGAATTGAGGCAAACTTTTAACAAAAGATGTCGTTATCGAGGGAACAAAAAGTAGAAGGAATGAGTTTGAGTTGGTTACAAGCGCGGTATTATTCTACTAAATTGGTCTGTTCTCACCTTCCTCACGTTCCTTTACATATCTGGGTGATAAATCCTCTTCGCTGTTGATAAAGCTTACAGTCGAATCATAATGTGATGTGATCAATGAACATTCACTCCGGCTTTGATACATTACTCGTTATTTTGGGATCAGAACATTTTTGATATGCACCACGACGAATTGTGATTGGATGACAATTATTTAGCCCAAATCGGAATTTAGACCATTCTTAATTAATATTATTATTATGGCAATATCTATGATGTCACACGTAAATCAGCACATGCTACTGTCCGAATGGTATTTCAATTTAAACTTCCTTGCCAAGTTCCACCACCAATGTTGTCATTCTTGAAGCTGGACCTGAACCAAATAAAAATAGCTCAATTCATCAATGCATTGACATGTATCAAGCAGATTTTGGACAGAATATAATAGATCTAGCTTGTGATGAAGCTTTAACAACAGTAATCTATCTGGAAGATTTATGCTTGGACAATGGCATACATCAAAAGCTATGCACAGTGCATTAATTACTGGTTTTAGTGGTTATGGTCTTTATAGTATGGCAGCTAAATTAGGTGTCCATTTCTTGATTATAGAGCTACTTGCCATGTTCTTGACCTCATCTTTAAAGCTGTTGGTATAGCAATCCACAGTTATTTATTGAAAAATAATATTGACAGCAGTAATATATTACACATAAACACCAGTAATGATGTATTAAAGGTGTGGTTTACTTTCTATAGATTAGCTGGATATTGGAAAGGACACCAGATAGGAACATGTACAGGAAATCTAGACATGCAACTGAAAAACTTAACTGCATTTGCACCATTATTTCCAGACAGTGACAAGTAAAAACAATTATGCAAAATCAGTTGTTCGTTTTCTTAATTCCATAAATCAACATCCTTCTCAACGTGAATTGCTGAAGTATGCATGTTCTGTTAACCTTACCAAGGAAGGACATTATTTTGCTTTGATGAAGCAATGGAGGTCTTTGGCATAAAGTTTGTCAAACAAATATTACTGGCAAATCAACAGATCCAATAAATTTAATGCAGCAAATTAAGTCTGCACAAGCAGAGTGAGAGAGGATGATGAGGCTTTTCTCAGAATTTGTTGGAGATGGTACAGTATATCAAGGAGACAAGAAAGTGGAACCACGAGATCATGTGTTACAATCACTTGTAAGTGATCTGATTAATGCATTTGACCTTGATGATCCAACTGAACATGGGGTTTTCCAAGGTGTACAAGCACTAAAGGCTGATGGGTTTTATAAATTAGCCACATTCCATACAAAAGGAATAAAACACCTTGATGATTTGCTTTCTCAGTATGTCAATAAAACTGAGAAAGAAGTTACTGAAGGCAGGCTTCATAAAGATCTTCCATACATGAAGGTCAGTGAATACAAAAGTCTGTCAAAGATAAGCAGTAGTAGTGGAGCAAGAGTCACTGGCAGTATTGGTGGAAATAACTCAACAGATGATAATGACCAAATTTCTCAAGCTAATATTGAGAGTTCAACAGATTTAACATCTCACTCTCAGATTGGGACACTAGAAATAAGTGACCATTCTCATATATCTGAGGCATTGCAGCCTATACAGTCGACCTCCCATACAGTCACACCCTCGGGAATGACCAAAACCAGTGACTATAAGGAGGGGTGACTGTATGG